TGTAAAGTATTCGATGGGTTTTATAAGTGAATGATAATGGAGAGATAATAGAGTGTTCTCGTTTGTACTATATTTTTTAAATTGAGATTCAATTTTTAAATCGGCTATCAAATACATATTTGAAAATAAAAATATAAATCCCTTTAATTGCACCAAACGCACTGACTACCCATTTTGAATTTCCCATCTTGAGACGTCTATTTTTAAATCATAATTTTATAAATGTCTTTAATTTTCAAAATTTATACTTTTAGATATTTTCATGTAGGATTTTATGTTAATACCGTTTCTACCCTTATTATTTATTGCTTTTTATTTTATTATAATTTTAAAATTTAAAAGATTTGAATCCTTAATTTGTTATTATATTCATTTAATTATTGTGGGCTCCGTTAAATTTTTCAACCTAATTTCTTCAAATCTCTCATTCAAAAAAGATTTTATCCTCTCACCAATTAATAACTTCCAAATTTGTGAAATCACGTTTTGAATTAATCAGATCCGTTTGCTGTCGTCTGCTTCCGTCTCCAACCTTCCTTTTTTTTTCTCCGTCGTCTTCATTTCTTTCATGCAGACCTTTATCAACGAGGACAGGAGACGTTCAGACTTCAGGGCTTCCATCAACGAGTGATTTTTTCCTTCTTCTTTTCATCGAGATCTTCTGATTTCCGTCGCTGAATAGACTTTCTGTCGACCTCGTTGCACGTTTCCGACGCCGTGCAGCGTGCTTCCGTCAACAAGGTATTTATTTCTTCAATTTCCGTCGCTGAATAAACTTTCCGTCGACKTCTTTGCACGTTTCCGACGCCGTTCAGCGCGTTCCTTGTCTCCTGTCCCCTTCTGTTTTTACCATTGGTAATTATTAGTCTTCCGTTAAGATTGGTATATATAGGGATATATTTTGTGTATGCGTATAGAAAATTGGAGTTCTAAATGTCTCATAGTCTTAGTATTCCTGATTATATTCGTATAGATGGGTATATATTGTATATGTGTATATATCTTATATATAATATAAGATATATACACATATCTTATAGTTCTGTAGATACGGTCCTCCAAAATTGAAGTTCTAAACGTCTCATGGTTTGGACGATTGTTATTTTTGGATTTTGAGGGATTTCTGAAGGTTTTCAAATTTTGGGGGATTTCGAGATATTGTTTCAAATCTTTGTCAATTTCTTTCTGACAAAACCGGATGTTTCATTTTTTTTTTGTTTCTTTCTTTTGGTAGATTTTTAGACGGATTTTGGGATATTTTGGGAGGTTTTCAAACTTGGGGAATTTAGGTTTTCTTTTTAATGTTTTGGTATTTTAATTTGTTTTAGAAAGTATGGTTAACCTAAAATTATGGGATCCAAATTATAACCTTTCAATTAATCAATTATGCACCTTAAAATAAATTTAAAATTAATTTGTAGATATAAGAGGGTATTTAAGTAATTTATGTGATGGGTACCCTCCTAAATAAGGTGGATACATCACAAATGTATAAATTCTATACATTTGATCCTAATTATCTTTAAATTGTACTAATCCCAAAACTATTTAATGGATTAGGTATAACTCGATCCAATAAGTCAAGCACATGAATTGGATCATGGGCTCATTGGTGGTTGGGCCTGGGTCGAATTATTGATGGAGCTGTCACGTGTTTTTTTCTAAAACTAGCAACTTATCAACATTTTATAAAATGTACTATTTTATTCACCTTAATTTCTCTGTCACGTTAAATCATGCTTTTTATTTTGCGGGATTTCGAACCCAAAATTGAAATTGAAAGGTTAATTTTATAATTTAACAAAAAATGGAAAGTGACTGAAAATAAAACTATATAATATTGAGAAATTGTAGTAAGTAGCAAAAATCTTTTACGTACTTCGAAATATGTCACCAAATTTTTTAAAACTTTCAAATATAGCATAAATTTTCATATATATTAGATAATTATATCAGTAGTATATCGATAATCATATCAATAGTATATTAAACACTCATATCAATAGTATTAGATAATTATATCAATAGTATATCGGACACTCATATTATCACACATATATTGCACAAACACTTATATTTATAGTATATTAATTGCATACCACATGCATATTGCATGTATATCAAACACTCATGTCAATAATATATAAGATGTATATTACGTACATATATAATAAAATATATTACAGATATATATCACTCGATAAATATAAGTTATTATTTTAAAATTGGATCAACATCTATAATATAATATATGTGATTACTATTTTACTGGATGTTTTTGTCATGTTTTTGTCATATTTGCAATAATATAACTAAGTAGCTATATTTCTTCGGAAAAAAAATGCTTTTTTATAATTTCCTTTTTCGAGAAATAAAAGAGCACCACGTCTCTTCCTCCCAGTCCCAGCATCCTGGTCAGTGGTCGGGCCTTTCCTTTGCTTGCCCTTCTGAAACGCCCCTCTTCTGACGTTGACCGGTGGCAGAACGGCGCCAGTTTCATGGAATTGGTTGGTTCTGCTACTTCCACACACTCCTCTCTCCGTCGCCTGATTTTGATTTCCAACACGCCACACCATGAAACTCGCTTCTTCAATTTCCAATTAAGTTGATTCTTCAATTCCCTTTGATTTCTCTGTTTCTGTCTGTTTCCTCGAACAATTATGAGTTCGTTCAAGTTCGAGAGCGACGAGCCACTGACGCCGGCCGGCCGCCTCTTCAT